CGACATTGACACTGGAGTCAACCTGCCAGGTGACCAATCCATTCTCGGAGCTTCCGGGGCCGTGTCATCATCATCTCCGTGTCATCATCATCTCATCAATCATCATCATCATCATGATCATCATCATCTTCATCATCATCAGCATCATCATCATCATCATCTACAGCAAGCAGCATCCAGCATCAGCAATCAGCATCAGCATCATCATCACCACCATCATCATCATCATCATCATCATCATCATCATCATCATCATCATCATCATCATCATCATCATCATCATCATCATCATCATCATCAGCATCATCATCATCATCATCATCATCAGCACCATCATCAGCATCATCATCATCATCATCATCATCATCATCACCATCATCATCACCACCACCACCACAATCATCAACATCATCAGCATCATCAGCAGCATCATCGTCATCATCCTCATCAACAGCAGCATCATCCTCCTCATCATCCTTGTCATTATCATCATAGTCATCATCATAATCATCAGCATCATCAACATCATCATCCTAATCATCATCATCGACATGACACATCATCATCATCATCATCATCATCATCAGCATCATCATCAGTCATCATCAGCATCATCAGCAGCATCGCTATGATCATCATCATCATCATCATCATCATCAACAGCAGCATCATCATCACCAAAACCACCATCATCGTCATCATCATCACCACCATCATCATCATCATCAGAATTAACATCATCATCACCAGTAAAAGCAGCAGCCGCGTCATCCTCATCATCATCATCATCAGCATCATCATCATCATCAGCAGCAGCACCTTCATCGTCATCATCATCAGCATAAGCATCATCATCACCATCATCATCATCATCATCATCCGTATCAACATCAGCATCATCAGTATCCACATCAGCATCAGCATCATCATCATCGTCAGCATCATCAAAGAGCATCATCGTCATCAACAGCAGCAGAATCGTCATCATCATCAGCACCATCATCATCAGCAACATCATCATTATCATCATCAGCGGCAGCATCATCATCAGCATCGTCATCATCATCAGCATCATCATCATCGTCGTCATCATAATCATCATCAACAGTATCATCATCAGCATCATCATCCATCATCGTCGTCATCATCATCAGCATCATCATCGTCATCAGAATCGTCATCATACTGCATGCTCCTCCACATGCCTGATCTGGCCAACACACCTGGGCACAGTTTCTGGATGAACTGGTGGGATTATGCAAAGCGCCGCGCATATAAAGATGAGGACGATGAGCAGGCACAGAAAAGCTACGAATGGAAAAAGAGAAAAGGACATGAAGGAAAGAAAGCCGATGGAGGCGATGAATAGGAGGGGAGGAGGGGTGAGAAAAAAGAAACGGAAGAAAATACTGAAGGGGCAGAAGACGGACGGAGGAAGAGGCAAAAGAGGCGGAACGGGGAGGACAGAAGGGTTGCAGCATGGGTACCGGTTCCTCGTATGAGAAGGGGTAGAGAAAGAGGCGGAGCAAGCCACAGCGAGGACCCCGTCGGCTCGGTCATGGCACGTCTAGGCCGCCGACGCACCCCTCCTCGTGGCAGCTGTGGTCGTGCGGAGCCGGGTCCTCAGAATCCGGCGCCCCATCCTCCCTGCCTACCTCTCATCTCCCACCCTCCCCCTCGCTTCCAACCTCTCTCCTTCCTCCCTCCCTTTTCTCATGGCGTCTCCAACAGCTTTCAAGCATGCTTCTGGTCGCGCGGGGCGCTATATATATATATATATATATATATATATATCACCCCTCCGGCCTGCGAGCCGCAGCCCCTGACCCGGACCGAAGGAAAAAGAAGACTCTGAGGAGGAGGTGGAGGAGCACGTGGCGCAGAGAGGCTCTCTCCCTCGCCCCTTCGCTCGCTCGCTGCTCGCTCCCTCCCTCCCCCCATCCCTTCCTCGCTCCTCCTCATCACCACCACCACCACCACCATCATCATCACCATCATCATCATCATCATCATCAGTATCATCATCATCATCATCACCATCATCATCATCATCATCATCATCATCATCATCATTCATCATCATCATCATCATCATCATCATCATCATCATCATCATCATCATCATCATCATCATCATCATCATCATCATCATCATTAACATCATCATCATCATCATCATCATCATCATCATCATCATCACTGTCATCAGCAGCATCAGCATCATCAGCAGCAGCAGCATCATCAGCAACATCATCCGCATCAGCATCAGCTTCAGCTTCATCATCATCCATCATCATCCATCATCGTCATCATCACCACCACCAGAATCATGCATGTTTAGCCATCCCCGACATCATCAGGAGTACCCACCAGAAGCACGAGGGACGTAGGTGAGGGCCAGACATTTACGACGAACCGTGCTTCAGCAGATGGGCAACTCACGCCCGCGCCATATCTGACCTCCTACCCCTCCCGCCCCATCGTGCCACGCGCAATCCGCAAAGGGAACCGTGCACAGTGGAGGAGGACGGAGCCCAGGGCGGGCTGCGCCGCGGAGGCCTCCGCGAGGGAATCCCCGGGGGGGGGGCCTGCGCCGCACAGCCGCACAGGATCGAAGAGGATCGAGGATCGAGGGTCGAGGAGGATGGGGGATCGAGGCTCCAGAAGGATCAACGATCGAAGGGCGAAGAGGATCGAGGATCGAGGAGGAGGAGGACGAGGAGGAGGAGGAGGAGGAGGAGCAGCAGCATAATGATAGCAGCAGCAGCGGAAGCAGCAGGAGCAGGAGCAGGAGGAGCGGGAGCGGGAGCCCGCAGCGGGAGGAGCGGCAGGACCAGGGGAGGGCGGGGGAGGGGAGAGAAGGAGGGCGACGGCGACGAGGGAGCTTTTTGTTCCGGACGTGGGTTAGAGTCAAGCGCCAACTCCCAGGCAGCAACAGGACCCAACGAAGACCCGAAGAAGGCGAACGAGCCAGGGCCTGAGGAAAGACACCACGGCGAAGGGACAGCCACCGAGCGAATAACCGAGGCCGGCGAAGAGGAAGCACTCGGATCCAGAGGTGTGGCCCGCGATGGGGCGAGAGCGTTCTACTGAACGAAGTGAGCGAGGCGCTGGTCTGCAATGAGGCCTACGCTGCAGCGGGAGCACCAATCTGAATGATCAATAAAGTTCCGGCCAGATCATCAAATGCTTGGCGTCCGATGCGCGGCGAGCAAAACCAAATGCAGGAGAAAAAAGGCCCCGCTCGCATGGAAACCAGAGGAGGAGAAGCAGGGAGGATGACGGGGGATGGGTGGGAGAAGGATAGAGGGAGGAGCGGGAAGGAGGAGGAGGAGGAGTGAGTGAGTGAGTAAGCGAGTGAATGAGGAGGAGGAGGAGTGAGTGAGTGAGTGAGTGAGTGAGTGAGTGAGTGAGTGAGTGAGTGAGTGAGTGAGTGAGTGAGTGAGTGAGTGAGTGAGTGAATGAGGGCAGGGGAATGTGGCCATGACTAAGCCGTATGTTGGTCCGGCAACCCTACTTCCCCCCCAGATCGCGACGAGCACCACGACGAACGATAAACCCTCGAGAGACGAGCGAAGTGACTTCGTCGACCGTGCCGAGATTCCCGCGTGAAGCAAGGTGCTCACCATACTACACATGTGCGCCACAAAACTGAACTCGCCAGCCCAACGGGCCAAAGGCGTGCCAAAATCTCTGGTAACAGCATTAGAATACTTCTAGTTCGCGCACGCGTGGCTGCCCCTTGGGATCCCCGGATGAAAAATATCCGTCACGGATGCCAGGTGGTCCCCGAGTGGTCCCTGGGCGGTCCCCGTCACGGATGCCGGAACTCCTGGGGGCTGCCTTCAGGACATTGAAGAGCGTCTCAAGAGGCCCCCAAGGCGGTCTAAGAGGGACCAGAATCACTGGATGTCGGTTCAAGATGCCCAAGATACCCTCTGGACGGCTTCAACCGCCTCCAAGACACCCGAAGATGCCTCTAAGACCACTCCCAAGAAGCCCCCTAGAGCCAAAAGTCGACGATGTTCCATTGGTTTTTGAAGCTGTTTAACGTTCTCACCTTTTGGGCCGCCGACGCTCTAAGACGGCCCAAGAAGCCCCCTAAGATCGTTACAAGACAGCCCATTAAGCCTCCAAGAGAGCCCCAAAACGGCCCACGGGGACTCCAAGACGATCCAAGTATCTCCCAAGACGGCGCTGGAGAGCCCCAAGACACCTTCAAGAAGACCCCTCGAGGGGGAGCCCCAACGGACATTTCGAGCGTTCGGCCCAACGAGGCGTCCAGGCTGCCCCAAGCGGCCCCCACGAGCCCCCCAAGAGGGTCCAAAGGCCTCCAAGAGGCGCTGAGAGAGCACCAAGAGGTATCCAAGGCGCCCCCAGGAGGCCCCCAAGAGCCCCTAAAACTGCTACACATGAGTCCCCCGAAAACCCTGCGAAAAGATACCGAGGCGCTTCCATGAGGACTCTCACCCACTGCCGCAGCAGCGCCGACCAGCAGCGCCGCATGGCCCACGAACGCGCGGGCAAACGCCAACGATGACACAACACGGGCCAGTGGAATGAGCGAAGCGATCCGCCGCCCCACCCGGTACGGCGTGTGAGGTCCACAACATGGTCTTCAAGAGTGCTTTGTGTAAGTCTTCTCTCCAGCGAGCTTTTCATACCTACCCCTGCCTCTGAGCCCTCGCAACCACTCCCAGGGTCATCCCCGCGCCTCGCTCATTCCGCCGGCCGGGGGGCCCCGGCTGCGGCCGGGGCGCCTTCTGGCCGCCATTTCCGTCCCAAGACGACCCCCTTTCACGTGCTAGCCTTCCAGGCGCCGCCAGGCGTTCTCAGAGACCTCTCCAGGAGCCCACTGGGCCGGCTTTTCGGGCCTCCTGAGGCCATACTGGGCTCAATCTCACCCTCCTTCGGGCCACTTTGAGCCGTTTCAGACGCGTTTGCACATCTTTTCGAGCCACATTCACCAGAACACCCCAACAAGCGAAAAACATAGTAAAACACACAGGATGTTGATGATTCTAGCCTTCTCGCACTTCTCCTTGCGCCTTTCTCGGAGCTCCCGTGCATCTCCGCTGGCTCTTGCGACCATCTTGGAACCCGGGCATGCTCTCTACGACCGTCCTGACAGCCTATCGGACCCATCTTGGGCCGTCTGGCCGCCTTCTTGGCACCGTACTTCGCCCATCTGAGGGGGGCGCCCCCTCAGAGCCTCCAGGGGCTCTTCCAGGAGCAGCAAACAAACCCGGACTGTTTTTGTCACCCTTCTTGTTTTGATCGTTCACCCCAAATCGCCGCACTTGACACATTCCGGCTCCTTTTGGGGCCCCTCCAGAGGTCCCCCTGGGACGAACCCGACGGTTTTTGTTGAGCTTCTCCAGCCTCTCTGCAGCCGTCCTAGCCTCAGGGTCATGTGAAAGACACTCCTCGGCGCGCTTTCTGGGACGAACCCGACGGTGTTTTTCAGTTCCTCCAGCCTGTTTGCAGCCGTGCTGGCCTCAAGGTCATATGACACAGAGCTCGCTGCTGTCAGTTCCTCTAGCCTCTCTGCGGCCGTCCTGGGCTCAGGGTCATACGACAGAGAGCTCGCTGAGGAGCCCAATGTCCTCTCAATAGAGCCCCACGAGGCCTCCAAGCGGAAGCACCAGCACCAGCACCAGAACAGCTCCTACTCGCGCGCGCGGAGCGGCCGCCGCTCCCACAGTTTCCAGGATCCAAAAATGGTGGGGCGGCGGTGTCTGTCCCCACAGGGGCGTTCAATTAATAAACGAAAACATGAAAATAACAAAAAAGAAGCCCACTGGGCTGCAGCGCATAAAATCAATGTGAGAAAAACACCCCGTCCTCATGCAGAAAAATAGGATGCAGTTCAGATTTGCATCCACCGCATCACACAGTGTACGCGGTGGCGGTTCCAGGTTTGCTACAACGCCCAACTTCACCACGGCGGCATGACATTCACTGGAATAGGCTAGGCCGCAAACAGCCTAGCACGAACGCCTTGACACGCCGCCAGCAGCACAGAACAACAGAAGTGTGCATAGCCACTGCGCGTCGCACTCCAGAAAGTGATACCCGAAGACTCATTTGACCAAATGCATGCCAAGGGGTAGTGGAGGCCACCCCAATCCCTGGGAGGGCTGCCGAACAGCACGCCACGTTCAGGAAAGCACCAGGTGCCCAGTCGACTAGGAAATATGCACGCTCAGGGAATTGTAGCTCACCCCACCCAAGACTCCTGGGACAGATGCCCAAACTCGATCTGGGAAGAACCAAACCTCCACTGGACTGCCAAATTGAATGTGCCCTATGTTCGTCACACCTCATCTGGCCGAATACGAAACAGCCCGCCATCCCGTACTGTGAGCTGCCGCCGCTACAAGTCAGGTCTCAAGCCAACACGCGGAGGGTGAGCCCATCTGGAAGGTTTGTTCTGGGCGCCCAGGTGGAGGGCGACACTCCACCTGGGCACCAGCAACGGGGCACACACCCCAAATGAGGCGACGGGAGGGGAGGAGAGAGGAAAGAGCAGGGGAGGAGAGAGGAGGGAGGGCGCCAGAAGGCGGGAGGGACGGGAGCGCGGCCGTGGGGTGTGAGACACCAGGCCCCACCGTTGGGCAAGGAGCGGGAAGGAAAGGGGAAGGAGAGGGGGGGAGGAGGGGAAGGAGAGGAGGGGGAGGAGGGGGGGGGGAAGGGGAAGGGGGAGGGGGGAATGGGACGGGGGAGGGGGAGGCGAGGAGGAGGGAGAGGACGACGACGACGACGACGACGACGACGAGGAGGACGAGGTGGACGAGAAGGGGAGGGGAGGAGGGGAGGGGGATTGGGAGGAGGGCGAGGAGGGGGAGGAGGGTAGCAGGAGGAGGAGGAGGAGGAAGAGGAGGAAGAGGTGGAGAAGGAGAAGGAGGAGGAGGAGGACGACGACGAGGAGGGACGATGATGGACGAGGAGGGGCAGGGGGAGAAGGATGGGTGCAGGGGAGCGTCCTCGGAATCAGCCACCCCGTCTCCGTCTGCGTCGCCCTCCTCGACGCAGTCCCCCGGGCAAGGGAGCTCGGGGCACGGCACCTCTGGGCAGAATCACCCTCCTCCTCCTCCTCCTCCTCTTCTTCCTCCTCCTCCTGCTCCTGCTCCTGCTCCTCCTCCGCCTCCTCCCTCTCCTTCTCCTCCACGACGGCGGGGCCCTGGGCGCGAGGCTGAAGCGGTTCGACCTAGGCGGAGACGGCAGCTCAGGAGCCGCTCGCCACGACGATGATGGAACCCCGCGGGACGGCCGCCGCCATGCCACGCCTGGCGCTGGTCAGAAGCGCACCGTGCGCCCTCCGTGCGCTTGCGCCCTCAAACAGTCCCCCTTCTTCGCGTTGGCCCTCCTGGGGTCGCCCTGCGGTCGCGGCTTGGGGAACTGTCCCCCGGGACCCGTGGGCCCCAAGGGGTGTGCATGAATAGCGCAGGCGGACCGAGCGCGCCGCTCCCGAACCTCACTTAAGTAGCGCTTGATCATCAGCTGCCACCACCACCACTTGATCATCAGCCACCACCACAACCACAACCGTCGTCCTCCAACTCCTCCTCCTCCTCCTCCTCCTCCTCCTCCTCCCCCTCCTCCTCCTCCTCCTCCCCCTCCTCCTCCGCATCATCATCATCAGCAGCAGCAGCAGCATCCTCCTCATCCTCCGCATCCGCGTCGTCGTCGGCATCGTCGTCGCCGTCATCGTCATCATCATCATCATCATCATCATCATCATCATCATCATCATCATCATCATCAGCATCATCCTCATCATCATCATCATCATCATCATCATCATCATCAGCATCATCATGATCAGCAGCGTCAGCATCATGATCATCAGCAGCAGCATCATCATCATCACCATCATCAATCATCATCATCATCAGCAGCAGCATCATCATCACCATCAGCATCATCATCATCATCAGCAGCATCATCAGCATCATCAGCATTGTCATCATCAGCATCATCCGCATCAGCATCATCATCAGCAGCAGCATCATCAGCAGCAGTAGCAGGATCATCATCAGCATAATCAACATCGTCATCATCATCATCAACATCAACATCAGCATCAGCAGCACCATCATCATCATCGTCACCACCACCATCGCCAGCATCATCATCAGCAGCATCATCATCATCACCATCACCATCATCCTCATCAGCATCCGCATCAGCATCGGCATCATCACCATCATCATCATCAGCATCATCAGCATCATCATCATCATCATCATCATCATCATCATGGTCATCACCATCTGCAGTCATTCATTCGTTCATGCATCATCAGCAACATCAGCATCGTCAAGATCCTCACCATCAACAACACCATCATCAGCATCAGAATCATCAGCATCATCAGCATCATCAGCCTCGTCATAATCATCATCATCAGCAGCAGCATCAGCACCAGCATCAGCAGCAGCATCCGCATCACCATAACCAGTATGGTCATGATCATCATCAGCATCATCATCAGCATCAACAGTAGCAGCATCATCGTCATCGTCATCAGAATCATCAGCAGCCTCGGCATCATCAGCCTCAGCATCAGAATCACCATCAGCAGCAACAGCGTCATCAGCATCATCATAATCAGCATCATCATCAGCCTCACCATCATCATCATCAGCAGCAGCAGCATCTGCAACAGCAATAGCTGCATCGTCATCATCAGCATCATCAGCATCATCAGCATCATCAGCATCATCATGATCGTCGTCATCAGCATCAGCATCAGCATCATCCTGCTAAGAATCATCGTCATCGCCATCATCATCCTCATTATCATCATAATCAGCAGCATCAGCATCAGCATCATCATCATCACCGTCGTAAGCATCGTCATTATCATCATCTGCAGTAGCAGTATCATCATCGTCATCGTCATCACCTTCACCATCATCACCATCATCGTCATCACCACTATCAGCGTCATCACCATCATCATCAGCATCAGTATCACCGCCTTCATCTTCGGCATCATCACTATCTGCATCACCAGCATCATCGTCATCGTCATCAACATCATCACCATCAGCAGCAGCAACACCGTTATCAGCATCATCATCATCATCATCATCATCATCATAATCATCATCAACATCATGATCATCCTCATCATCATCATCATCATCATCATCAGCATCATCATCATCATCATCATCATCATCATCATCATCATCATCATCATCGTCATCATCATCATCATCATCATCATCATCATCATCATCATCATCAACATCGGCACCATGATTATCAGCATCATCAACATCAGCAGGCAGACTGAGCGCGCTGCTCCCGAACCTCACTTGAAGTAGCGCTTGATGATCAGTCATCATTACGACCACCAACCCTCCTCCTCCTCCTCCTCCTCCTCCTCAACAGCATCGTCATCATCATCATCATCATCATCATCATCATCAGCATCATCATCATCGTCATCATCAGCATCATCATCATCACCATCATCGTCATCATCGTCGTCATCATCAGCATCATCATCAGCAGCAGCACGGGCATCATCAGCAGTATGAGCATCGGCATCGTCATCGGCATCATCATCGTCACATCGGCATTCAATACCATCATCGGCAGTGCAATCCCCATCATCCACACAGTCGCCATCATCATCGTCAGCATAAGCATCATCATCATCAGCATCACCATCAACAGGATACGACTCGGCATATCATAAGTATCATCATCATCATGTAAACATTGCTGTCACCATCACCAGCATCATCATCAACAGCATCATCAGTATCAGCATCGTCATCAACTCCATCATCATCATCGTGATCAGCAACAGTATCATGCTCACCTCATCATCACTCATCATCAGCATCATCAGCAGCAGCATCGCTATTATCGTTGTCACCTTCATAAGCGACATCATCGCCGACGTCGCCAGTATCCTATCATCCTCATCAGTATCAGCAATAGCACCATCACCAGCATCCCCATCCGTTCCATACTCTGCCTCCTCGTCGCTGGCGAGCACGGCACCACTGGGCAAGTCGGGTCGTACGGGGCGGGATCCTCCACGTCTGGGACCCCGTCGCCGTCGCTGTCCTCGGGGAGGGAGGGAGGGAGGGAGGGAGGGAGGGAGGGAGGGAGGGAGGGAGGAGGCAAGAGAAGGAGGAGGAGGAGGAGGCGGGAGGGAGGGAGGAAAAGGAGGAAGGAGGAGAGAGGAGGGAGGAGGAGAGGAGGAGGAGGAGGAGGAGGAGGAGGAGGAGGAGGAGGAGAATGAGGAGGAAGAGGGAAGAGAGGTAAGAAAGAGAGGGAAGGAGGGACTTGGGAGGCCGCGAGGCGGGAGGAGGGGGTAGAGGTGATGGAGGATGGAGGGGTGGCAGGGTGGAGGGTGATGGAGGATGCACCCGCGGCGAGCGGGAGGAGGAGGGGGGAAAGGAGGACAGGAGGAGGAGGAGGAGGAGGAGGAGGAGAAGGAGGAGGGAGGAGGAGGAGGAGAGGAGGAGGAGGAGGAGGGGAGGAGGAGGAGACGAGGAGGGGGAGGGGGAGGGGGAGGAGGGGGAGGGGGGGAGGGAAGGGGGAGGGGGAGGGGGAGTAGGGGGGGGGAGTAGGAGGGGGAGGGGAGGAAGGGTAGGAGGGGGACGGGTAGGTGAGCAAAGAGGATGCCGGGGGGGAGAAGGTCCGGAAGCAGGAATGGGAAGAGAGGGGAGAATGGAGGATGCAGAGGGAATATATTTGGACGGTGGTTAGAGTCAAGCGCCAACCCCCATGCACGAATCACAGCGACGAGTAAGGGGACCGAACGGGGGCCCGAACAGCGAACGACGCGAGGGCCAGGGAGAGACAACCTGGCGGAGGGACAGCGACCAGGGAAGGAACCAAACCACGCAGGGGCACGGCTTACAAGTATGCAGAGGGGAGGGGAGGGGTGGATGGGTCAGGAGAAGAAAACACCATAAACATAAACTTTTGGCGCTCCGCGCGGATTTATTGGATCTGCGCTGGACCCCCCTCCCTGGGGGTCCGAGCGCGCCAGGGGGGCGCCGGAGGCGCCGCGGGGGGGGCCCAGCACGGATCGAGGAAATCCGCGCGGAGCGCCCACAGTTTATGGCAGCTTTCATCTTCGATGGGTGGAGGGAGAAAAGAGGGAAAGAGGAGTCTCAACGGCTGAGCCAGTGCAGCGAAGCGAGATCCAGAGCCGCGCAAATGGCGCGCCGAGCATCGTGACGCCCGATACTCTCGACTTTCCGCTCTGGCACGCACCCTCGGACTCAAGCTGAAAGGTACAGCAGCGAACACCGCGTCGGGCAGGAAAAATCGACGCCCGCCAGATGCAGCGAACCATCAGGCACGAGCTCGAGCTTGACCAGCTTGTCTTCGCTTGGCCAGGGCAGAGAAGCGGGCAACCCTTGAGATACGGGGGCCCAGGGACAATTGTGATAAAAATAGTTGTTTATCACTTGTCTTATCACACTTGTTGCTTATCACATTTGTTGTTTATCACCGCTTGTATCTCTCTTTCTCTCTTTTTCTCTCTCTCTCTCTCTCTCTCTCTCTCTCTCTCTCTCTCTCTCACGCATATATACATACACACAGATCCTAGGATCCCGCATATTTTTCCATTTTTTCTGGGTTGTCGTCTTCCCCCCCACTTCCCATGGTTTCCAATATTTTCTGGGGGATCGACGATTAATTGTGTATGTGTGATTGTGTTCCCTCCTGAAGAACCAGCGACAACGAAAGCATATAAGCTCGATTGGCCCTGCCCAAGGTTCAAATCGAAGGTACACAGTCGGAGCTGCAGAGTTCGAGGCGTGCAGACGGGACCAAGCACGACCCTTCGAGCCTGCACAGCCCGTGTCGAGATACATGCCTGGAATATCGTGGCCCGCTGCTGCCTCATCAGTGATTGCGCGTTGGCGCTCTTTCCTGAGTAGTGTTTCCATGCCCGTCCAGTGTACAGTCGGACCTAGGCCAGAAGAACCAAGAACACGAGACCCTCCGCCGGCCAAAACAACAGAACATCCAAGGGTACCCTCCCTCGGGTGCACAAGAACATCCAACAAACACGGAAAACAATCGGAGATGGACAGAATCCCCTCTAGTAAAACGTGGTTTAGTGAAAACGACCTCGGGCCCGAACCTGGCGGGCGCGAGCCTGGAAAATGACGGCCGCGGCGCCCCCCCGAGAACCGAAAACGGACGATTCACTGATCGACGTGTCAGGGTGGGGGTTCTGCCCACCCCCGAAACATGAGCGCACCCTCCCCGAACCGACCTCGATCTTATTATACCTCGGTCCGACTGCACCGCGCCTCCTCCTCCTCCTCCTCCTCCTCCTCCTCCTCCTCCTCCTCCTCCTCCTCCTCCTCCTCCTCCGTGCGGATGGCGCCCAGCCCACGCGAAGGGGAGGGCGCGGCCGCCTCCCGTGGCCGCCCGCCCCCACCGCTCCCCCGAGCGGCGCAGCCTGCCCTTCGGAGGGGTCTCCTGCTCGTGGCCTGTCGATCGGGGGCGCGCAGACACGGATCGGCGGTCCGGGGATTTGGCGCGCGACAGGGACGCAAGGGCCTCGGACGCCCAGTTCGAAGCGTTTCGAGCGGGGCGCGGCCAGCGAAAGCGGCGAAGGATGGACCGAGAAGGCAAGGATGCCAGGGTACCCTTGGGAAGGTTGCCCATCCTTACTATGCGGGTTGACTGTAGCGATCCATGGATTTGGCGCGCGGTCGCCAAGTCCATGCCTGCGATCGCCTGAGTTGGGCAATATGACAGACTGCTTCCCTCGGCTTACACGTAGCTGGCTGGGCTTGCATCACAGGATGGGCAGACTTTCCACCACCCTACCGTAGGTAGGAGAGGGAGGAGGAGGAGAAGGAGAAGGAGAAGGAGAAGGAGAAGGAGGAGGAGGAAGAGGAGGAGGAGGAGGAGGAGGAGGAGGGAGCCTCTCTCGTATTTCTCCCGCGTAGCAGCGTCAAGCACATGACCCTGCCTCTGGCATACCCCGAGGTTCTTCACCAGCGCTCGCATCAGCAAGGCCTACATTACTTTTTGCGTCGGCGGCTGGGAAAGGTTGTCTGCGCTGGCGGAAGAAGCTAACTAAACGGGGGGACCGTTGTAGCGAATTGGCCAGCATGCAAGAGGGGGAGAGGGACGGAGCGGGCGGCCGCGGGGAGGGGGAAAAAGCGAGTGCCGCTCAGGAGGGACGCGTCACTCCCTGAGTGAGCTGGCGCAGCCAGCACGGCTCACATCACATACAGTCAACCCATATATGCTTACCTACCAGACCTCCCCAGCCTAACCCGAAGACGCGAATTTCGGGTTGGGGTGGGGTACGGTTTTCACACGTGTTTCTTCAATGTTCCCCGACGTCCCCCCCCCGGACTGGGAATGGAGGGCAAATTCGGGCCTTCGGGATGGGTTGGGGTGGTTCGGTAGGTGGTGAGTAGACTAAGGATGCGCGATAAGGATGCAAGGGCCCTGGACGCCCATCTCAAAGCTTTTCGAGCGGGGCGCAGCCAACGAAAGTGGCCAAGGACGGAGCGAGGAGGCAAGGATGCAAAGATACCCCTGCAAAGCTATGCGGGTCGACTGTAGCTTGTACCACACAGCTTGCATCACATGGTCTGCACCAATGCCGTGCACCAGATAGGTATACCACATAGCTTGAGCCTCGTGGCCTATGCATGCAGAGTGCAAGAAGTCACTGTGGGGTCAGCGCTGAACAACATTCGAGACTTATGTCATGCACCTCAAGCCAATGCACTATTCATCCGCATCCTGACCCTCCTCCTGTTCATCCTTCTCATCACCATCAGCCTCATCGTCGTTCTTTCGGAGGAGAGGTGCGGAGCAGGAGCGAGGGAAGAGAAAGAGGAGGATGGCGGAGCAGGATGCAGGGAGGAGGGAAGAGGGAGGCAGGAGGCAGGAGGCAGGGAGAAGGGCGGAGCAAGATAGAAGGAGGAGGAAGCACAGGTGGGGAGATGAGCAGAAGGAGGAGAATGAGGCTGCGTCGATTGAAGGCTGGGGGGAGGCCGGGGCCCAGGGCACTCAGAGGTGGGCGAGACGGGAAGTGGAGCGCCACAATGCAGCTGCAACGCTCTCAAGGCAGAGGCCGGTCCTTCACGCCAGCCATCTTCTCGTGAGCTGGCGCTGACGGCGCTTTCGGCGTTTTTGGAGCGCACCCCTTCTCGTGGCAGTGGTGGTCGTATGGATCTGCATCGCTTGCGTCCGGAACACCGTCTCCGTCCACATCGCCTGATGATGACAGATGATCTGCCCTATGCTTACGGATGAGTTGCAGTGTGTAACCTCTAGGCCGCAACCTTCTACCCTCCGCCCCGTCTCCCGACCAATCAGCCTGCCGACATGTTATGAGCATGTCTCACACGGCGGGCCCATGAACGAACTTAAAAACAACATGCTTGAACCTGACATTACACATTTTCACGATGAATTCAAAACCCCCGACCACCACCACACCTCCTGATTACCCGAAGGGCGGTATGTGCGGTCAGCCGCTATGTTTAACGCTCGATACACATCACTCCCTCTGCCTCTCCAGTTTCTCTCCCCTCCCCCTCCCTCGCCCCCCCTCCTTCCATATCCTCTGGACCACCGTCAAGGACGCGCGGCTCGCAGCGCTGCCCCGAAACCCTGCCTCCTCCATCATTCCCACCTTGTCTTCGAGGTCGTCTCCCATACACACCCCTCTTCGTTTTCCTCCCCCCACCTTCACTTTCACCTCACCCCTCCCCGACACCCTCCCCCTGCCTCTGTGGAAGCACAAAGGTACCGATAACGCTACTCCGCGGACCTCTTCCAGAGTGCGTTCTGACCAGGATTTCGAGGCGAATCCAGCGGTGGCGACGAGAGTCTCCGAGATGGCCCAAAACAGAGAAAACGAGGGAAGGATAACGATATGGGTACCTTTTCTCCTCTGAATTTCTTGAAAATTCATGCTAGTCAAAATGCTGGCCGATCAGCGGTAGATAGCCACAACTAGCGGCAAATAGCGGCAACCGGCTAGCGGCGAATAGCGGCACACGCCTCGCCCAAACCGTCCACCAATCACCCCCATTCGCCGCTCATGGTAGCTACAACTGAAAAAAACACCGTCGGTGAAACTCAGAGCTTCCAGTTGAAAAAAAGACTGCTACGCGCAACGCCCCCTCGCAGCCTAGCTTAATGCACCCTGGATCATGGCAGGTGGGGTCGTACGGCGCCGCGTCGTGGATATCTACCACACCATCCCCGTCGGTATCGACGCAGCCGTCCTCGCGAGATGATTGCGAGCATGGAGGCTGAGAGCGACGAGGAGAAGCAAGAGTAGACGGAGCAGAGTAGATCAGAATATCATGGAGTCCCTGAATACATCCTAACTGACAAAGCCACTGAACTCACTGGGCTGCACTCTGAGAGGGTACCTTCGATACCGAGCCGAATCAATGTGCACGCCGCCAATAGGCTGAGGAGCAGGAGCCGGAGGATGAGGCCTTACAGTAGGGAAGGCAGCATCGACACTCCTGGGGTGTGTACCACCGGCGCTTCACGCATCTAGGCACTATCGGCGAGCCACGCATCACTCCACATCACCATCCCACCCCATCCTCCATCCCTTTCCTCATATATATATATATTATGTGTATATTATATATATATATATACATACCTCCTCCCATGAGAGGCATTCCAGGAGACCCATTGTATGCATCCCCGGTGCTCCTGACCCAAAGGCCAGGCACAGTGGCACGACTCTTGAGAGATTCAATGTTATGCTGGTCGGCGGAATGGCGTGAGCCTCTTGAACCGCTCCTCCTCGCCTGAACACCAGACGTCTCGGTAGGGCGGGACGGACGTTTCCCCTGAGACCTCCTCACATCTTATGATGATGGAACTGGAAATGTCCAACAGCTTCAAGGACGGATGACATGCTATCCCCAAAATGGAGTTTCGCCTTAGCGCCGCGCGCATTCGCAGTAAAGCTTACAACAACAATTTGAGAGATGCAGGGCTGATCGCCTTCGCAGTGGAGCTTTCGCCGAAGCGCCGTGCACATTCGTTTTTGAGAGCTTGCAATAGTTACAAGGATGGAGGGCGGGTTGATGTTGGCCTCTCCTACGTAGGGTCGCGCACATTCGCCTGGAAAACTTGGAACTGTGATAAGGATAGAGGGGGGCGGTTCCGTTTCAAACAAGGGCGTTCTCCTTGGCGCGCGCCGTGTGCTTTCGTTTGAACGGGGATTGGAGATGGTTGAACAGCTTAGCATTACTATCAGGGATGGAAGACGGTTCCGTTTCACAGTGGGGGGTTCGCCTGAGACTTTCGTGAAACATGTTTCAACGTGCGCGAAAGCCTGCAACAGCTACACACATGGAGGCCAGCTCGTTTTCAAGATAGGAATGCTGCCTGAGACTCCTAAAAGGAAAGAAAGGGGGATAAGACAATACAAAACAAAAAATGCGCAACAGCTACACGAAGTCCACCAGTCCTTCAGGGCGTGAGTGGTTGAGGGGGTGAGTTTTCCAACCCCTCTTCTTCCCCTTCAAAAAGGGGGGGTCGCAACGCGTTAGAGCGCATTTCTTTATTCGCGGCGGTAATGGGCGTTTTAGGGAAGGGGATCGGGGGGGGGCATAACGTAACGCCCTCCCCGCCGTGCGGATCCGGCGCCACCACAGCGTCCGCGCGCACGACGGCGGCGACGACGACGACGACGACGACAACGACGACGAGCGACGACGACGACGACGCCGACGAGGACGACGACAACGAGCGACCACGACGACGACGACGACGACGAGGACGACGAGGACGACGACGACGACGACGACCACGAGCGACCACGACGACGACGACGACGATGACGACGACGATGACGACGACAACGACGATGACGACAACGACGACGAGCGACGACGACGACGAGCGACGCCTCCAGAGGTCTCCAGAGGTTTGCCCGGGCCTCAGGAGGCCTCCTGAGACCTCTGGAAGCCGCAAGAAGTCTTCCGAAGGTCATCCGGAGGCCTCCAAAGGCCCTCGAAAGCATCCGAAGGCGCTTGACAACGACGAGCGACCGCGACCGATGGCGACCGACGAAAACGACCACGACGAAGATGACGATGATTACGACGACGATGACGACAACGACGACGACGAGCGACGACGATGACGACGACGACGACGACGAGCGACAACGAAGAGCGACGACGACGACGACGACGACGACGACGACGACCGACAACGAAGAGCGCCGAGGAGTTGTGGCGAGCACATGCATGCGAAGGCTCCGTTGCCTCCACGTGGCATATAAGAGGTATTATGCTGCTGACCTTCCTCCTCCATCCTCGTCGTCATCGTCGTCGTCCTTCTCCTCCTATTGCTCTCTCTCCTACGAACACCACATGTGCCTGAGAGCACCGCAACAGCTTGCACGCGACCACCGCCCCTATGCGGATCCCCACGCGGACCCCTATACGGATCCCTATGCAAATCCCTTTGCGGATCCCTATACGGGTCCCTGGGAATCCCAACGCGGATCCCTATGCGGATCTCGATGGATATCTCTATGCGATCCCCATGCGGGTCCATATGCAGATTTCTGCGCGGATGCCTCTGCGGATCCCTATTCGGGTTCCTATGCGGATCCTTGTGCGCACGGCGGCAGTGCGGGGGGCGCACTGGGGGTCAGAGCTTTACGTATGGCAGGGGGGGGGCGGGGGGGGCATAACGCGCGTTATGGCCCAAGCATTAAAGCAACACGCTCTTAGAGCGTCCAAGATGGTCTCGGCGAGAAGGCGCAAATTTGCCCATCCAGCGTCTGAGTTTTCCAGGTCCAATGTTATGTTGTTCCCATCGCACTTAAGGACCACATCCCAGAAATGTTTTCGAGCACCGGGAAAAGTGTCGAAAGAGTGTCGAAACAGTGTCGAAACAGCGTCGGACGCGTGTCTCCCAGGGCCAGACACGTGAAACCCTCGAGTTTCGGTACTTTTCTGGTGCTCGAAATTCTTCTTGGTGCTCAAGGCTAAACCCAATGCTTGAGCTTCAACTCTGCCAGGGGGGGGCCCGGGGGCTCTGCCGGCGGGGGGGCGGGGGGGGGGAGGGGGGGTCCCCAGGGCATCCTCCTCCTCCTCCTCCTCCTCCTCCTCCTCCTCCTCCTCCTCCTCCTGCTCCTGCCCCTCCTCCTCCTCCTCCTCCTCCTCCTCCCCCACCCTCTGGAGGACCTTCGGCTCTGCTTGGGGGGGGTCAGGGGGGCTCTGCCGGGGAAGGGCGGAGGGGGGGGTCGCCTGGTTTCCGGGCCCCCCCCTGGGGGACCCACTTTTGTTATGGATTTGCCGATCCCGAATGTGGAATGTGTGTGGGGGGACACAGCCCAGGGACCCCCCAGAACCCGGGGGAGCAGAGCCCCCCCCCACCCCCTCTGGCGTCCCCGGTCCCCCCTGCCGTCCGCAGGGGGAGAGCCCACCCCTCTGGCGTCCGCGGCTCTCCGTCCACATGGGCGGAGCGCCCCCCCCCCCTTCCCCCGGGCCATTCCCCCGTCCAAAAGGGGGAGCGAGCCCCCCTCCCAGAGGGCACCCTCCTCACTCTTGTCCGCTGCTGCGGGGTGCTACATATTCACGCTACGACCCGACCAACGCCCAATCACCCACCAACGAGCCAACAACTCCCCAGGATCCCCTAGGATTCCCAAGGATTCCCAAGCATCCTCCAGGATTCCCAACGAGATTCTCTAAGATCCCTTTGGATACTTACGATTCCCCTAGATTCCCGCAGGATTCATTCCCCAGGAGTCCCCAGGAGTCCCCAATCCCCAGGATTCCGATTATACTCCCGCACTCCCCCATCCCCACGAGAATCAGGAGCGCCTACGACAGTGTCGGCCACATGTTGGCCTCCTGGGGGGGCGACGATAATTGACTACCCCCCCTTTTTTGATCGACCTCCTTCAAGATGGCCACCCAAGCTCCCAAGAATGCCCCAAGAGGGCCCAAAGGAGCGCCCAGGAGGCCTCAAGGAGCCCCCAAGAGGCGCCCAAGAGACTCCCAACAGACCCCCACGAGGCTTCCCCGAGGCACCCAAGACGATCCAAGAGGCCCCCGGGACTACCAAGAAGTCCCCTAGACGCCCCAAGAGACCTGGGCCGGCACGGAAACGGAAAGAGCGCTTCAGAAACAGAAACCGAAATTACTCACACCACCGTTCGTACTGGGAGCCTTGGCGTTGAGAGCTTGTTACGTCACCCCTCGCTCTTGGGAGCCTTGGTGTTCAGAGATTGTTGCGTTGCCGCCCGTTCCTGAGCCTGGGCTGGGCCTTGGTGTCAGGAACTTGTTACGTCACCGCTCTCTGCTGGGAGCCTTGGTCTTACAGCTTGTTTACGTCACCGTTCGCTCTTGGGAGCCTTGGTGTGAAGAGCTTTTTGCGTTACCGATCGCTCTTTATTTGGCGTCTCTGGGCCTTCTTGGGAGTCCTAGTGGGGCCCTTTTGGAGCCTTTTTGGAGGCCTCTTGGGGGCCTCTTGGGGGCCTCTTGGGGCTTCTTGGGGGGCTCTTGGGGCGGGGGCTTCTTGCGGCGAAAGGCTAGACTTTTCGGTTCGTGATCCCCCTCTTGGGGCCGTCTTGGGGCCCTCTGGGGCCGTTTTGGGTGCCTCTTGGGAGCCTCTTGGGCCGCCTTGGGGCGGTCTTGGAGCCTCGTGGACCGTCTTCAACGCCGTGAAAGCCGAAAAGCCGTGCATGCTAAAAATGCACGTTTTCCGATTGGAAATCAATGATTGTGGCCTCTTTGGGGCCTCTTGGGGCTTCTTGGGGGGGCTCTGGGGGCCTCCCGGGAGCTTCTTGGGGCGAAAGGCTAGACTTGTCGATTCGTGGTCCCCCTCTTGGGGCCGTCTTGGGGCCCTCTTGGGCCGTCTTGGACGCCTCTTGGGCCGTCGTGGCGCCCCCTTGGGCCGTTTTGGGGGCCTCTTGGGAGCCTCTTGGGCCATCTTGGGGCGGTTTGGGGGGCCTCTTGGGCCGTCGTCAACGCCGTGAAAGCCGAAAAGTCGCATATGCAAAAAATGTACGTTTTCCTATGGGATATCGATGATTTTCGCCTCTTGGGGACCTCTTGGGGCGCCTCTTGGGCGCCTCTCGGGGCGTCTCGGAAGCCTCTGAAGGAAAACCCGAAAACGGCCATTGCAACCTGGGCCGGCACGGAAACGGAAAGAGCGCTTCAGAAACTGAAACCGAAATTACTCACACCACCGTTCGTACTGGGAGCCTTGGCGTTGAGAGCTTGTTACGTCA